CCCCCCCTTGTGTGCGCCACTGGGTGGGTGTCATTAGCAGCACACTTAATGGGTGCCGTGATACCAGATGTCCTCCAGCCAGGTGCCTTCCGATGGTTCAGGAAGACACAGGGGTCGGTCGTGAAGGTGCTGCCAGTGTCTAGACAGCGACCAAAGAGGCAGTTGTCTCAACACTTGCGTGTTGTAGGATGTGACGTTTTTCTCGACGACTGGTCTGTTGAAGGCCTCCTGAGTCTAGTAGCCGTGTAAATGACGTCTCTTCTGTGTCTACTGGACAGAACACCTCCTCACAATCAAACCATAAAGGCCTACTTGGCGAGTTACTCACCAAGCTGAGACCACCCAGCTTCCATCATCCCGATGATTCTTCTCCTCTGAAACTCTGACAGCTTTTCATGATGTCTTCGATGGTGGCGTAATGGCATGTCTTCCTCAATGTTTTCTTTGCAAAAGATTAAGCCCACTCAGACAAACTTTGGTTACCTGTTTTATACTGCAAGGAGAAAGAAGTTCAACGCCCTCTAGTGGGATTACGAAATGCGCAATCAAGCTGCATACCTTCATGGCAAATTTCGTTACGCGATGCCACTATTATTTCTTGGTGCGCAAATTTTTATGGCGATGAGTGTATTACTTCATGTTAACCGATATTTCATCTTAAAGGTTTTCGCGTTAAACGTATTTCACTGCACTTTCATATTCGAAATTCAGGTTCTATCATTTTTAAATCAAGAGGGAAGAGTTATAAAAAAGTGTTTCAGCACAATTGAACATTTAATGCAAGGACGTAGACATCAATTATTTATAAATATAGTCATGTATATATAATCATTCAACACATGTAATTCCCTGTGAAGCGGGCGGGTAACGACTAGTTATATAGGTAAGTATTAATTGAACATGCTTTATGTATCAAAATAAGTAAAAAATATAGTAGCCATATTTTTGAACATCTTTTCTTCTAATTTGTTCTGTTTTGCTTTCTTAATATTAGCAATTTCTACGAGAAAATGTTCAAAAAAATTCAATCGATTTATGCTTTTTGAGATCAATGTCGGAAATAAGATTTATTGAAGGAGGTTTCGTTACGACTGCGGAATCCCATTTCAAATGAGGAAGCTACTGTTTTTATAATAAGGTCAATAATTAAATGTTTTAATATATATAGCAATATATTATTCTGAACAAGTAATAAAAAATTACTCTCTGAACAAATAATATATAAACAAAAAAAAAATTAAGTCAATTCCTACTTAGGTCAACAAAGAAAAATTTCATTTTTGTTAATTAAATTTAATTAATGAATTAATATTTGTAAAAACTGTATTAACATCAAGTATCGTTAATAAAACTTACTGGCACCAGAACTACGTCATAAATAACGCAGAATAAATTTAAAATTAAAAATTAAAATTTAATTAATGAATTAATATTTGAAAAAACTGTATTAACATCTAGTGTCATCCACTACAAGTTTTAAAAAAATGTGTTTAAACTACAGTGGATGAATGAAAAATATTTTAGTAACGACTAATAATTTGAACAAAATATATATGTATATAAATATATATATATAGGGAGAGAGTGAACTTAAAGTAGAGAGAAATTGAAAAAGCAAAAGCAAAAAGAAATACATTGAATAAATTGAATATTCTTTTTCTTCGAAAATAATATTTCAAAGGAAAAAAAATTCTCATTTTGTTTTCTTTTTACTATTTATTAATTTTCCTTGAATCCAATGGTCAAAGAGAAATAATAGCTTTTATCAATGGAAAATTAAAACGCTTTGCATATCTAAGCATTGTAAAAAGATTTAGAGCATAACTAATTTGGGTATTTTAAAATTAAAAGCTTTTAAAAGAGAGTTAGATAAAAATTATAATAATAAATTGTTGCAATCTATAAAAACTGAAAAAAGAATAGGAGAAAAAAGAAGTAAAATTTTATTTTAATGGCTCATTAGATATAGAAACTTTAGTAAAATGTAAAACTCTATATTTCATTTGGTAAACGTTGCATATATTGGAAGTTAGGATATTTCATATTAGCGACTTTTCCACTTACCTTCATTATGCAAATTAGTGGCTGTCCATAAGACTATTTTAGGGATGAAGTACAATATATATGAAATGTAAATACCAATAAAGCAATATTATTTTACTGATAAATTAAAACTCAGTAAAAATATTTGATTAGGAATATAGGATTTCTGTGGTAAAATGTTCATGGTAAGCTCTTCATGACTCAGAAGCAATATTAGAATTATAGTGGAAAGTCGGGTATTACAGAATACCATTTATAGTCAGTCAAAAAAGTATTGAGACACACTACCAGTTCGTAGATTTTTATCGTAATATTTTATTTAAACATACAAATGAAACCAAATGGATTGGATCAATTTTTTGCAAAACGATCTATCGAATTTGGTCCACTCTTCGACCAAATATTTTCTTAAA